AAGACCCACTTAATGTTCATTTCTCAGGCTAGCAAGTGTTGGTTTATATGCAAACTCCACTTCTTATAAGTTTAAATTTAGCTACTTTGGATTATTTACATTTTTCGAACTGATGAAATGTGGTGTCCAGTTAGAAGTAATTTCAGCCAAAAAGACAAGGCGTCTGCAACTACATTGTTTGCTACAGAAATGTGCTGTATGTCTGAAGTACACTGTGAAATATAGTCCAGTTCTCGAGACTCGAGGTGAGCACTTGTGTGAAGATGAGATTAAGGAGAAAGTAAGAGGTTTATGACCAGCTAAAAGAGTGAATTCGATGCCTTCAGTAAAGTGTTGAGAGTGCCGTGCAGTACAATACATAGCTAGCCAATCGTTGCTGTTTTTTAGGGACCATGTGCAAAGGTGATGCTCATGGGCTATTTGACGGTCGAATGATTCCTAGCTCTATCATGTGGTCAAACTCGTTTTTAACCAACCACAGCTTTTCGGGAGCCAGTCGGCGTGCTTTCGAGAATACAGGTGGTCCTGTAGTCGAGATGCGATGTGTAACATTGCTGGTTACGTAGGGCAATTTCGGTTGCGGTTCGTATATCCCAGTAATGATTTATATAATGGGTCTATGGTGTACTTAGTTGTTACCGTGGACAATCTGCAAACAGATAACTCAGTGTTTCCGTCTATTAACCTTCGTTTGCGTGTGTTGATGAGCATATTGTGATGCTGTTGGAGGTCCATACCAACGATCGGCATAGAAACATCTGCAACAACGAAGACCCAGTGAATGGGTTTGCGTAAACCCACGTTAAGGTAAACGTACTTTTTACCGTATGTGGCGATTGGCTTTTCGTTTGCCGCCCGTAAGTTTAATACAGATTCGTGAAGTCGGTGAAGGAAGAATTCTAAATTCTGCACCAATATTGACGAGGTAGAGAACTTTCATGATCACATCTGTGACGTATAAAAGACGGCTATGTATGCCGGTTACTGTTGCTGTCAATGCTTGCCGGCTAGGGAGTCTCCCGAGACGTTTTTCATGTCGGTCGCTCTTGAGTTTGAAAAATTGCAGGGTTTTCTGCAATTTTTAGATTTTCCGTACTGGCTATGATGCCAGCACCAGTCGGAGTTATCTGTATTTCGTGATCTAGAGAGAGATTGTTTGCGTGAAAAACTCTGCGTAGTTTGTAATCGTTTACGGTCATTACGAAACCGAAGGAAACGTGTCAGTGTATGACATCGTTCTATAAATTTTTCCTTATTGTTTGAGGTTTTACTTTAACTAAAAGACCTCGACGTTAGAAGATTTGGTGAGCTCTAAAATGCGGTCGGTAAATGTAGCCAGTTCGTCCACGGCGTTGTTCTGAAACGAGGCCAGCACAGCTTGCACCCGTTGAGGAAGTTTAAACAAAAAAGTTATCTAAATAGGCCGTCATCAAAAGTTCTTTGGCCAGTCACCTCTCTGATTCTTAACAACATGTCTGTGATAGAACCATGTTTCAGGTCGGTATTATTGAGGAGTTGATCTAACCTTTGTTGATCGGTCAGGTCTCCTCGTTGAAAAATTTTGTAATGTTCCAAAACATCACTAGTAAACATACTAGTTGTGACTTACCTGTTAAACTCGCGCGGTAGTGCCTTTACTACAGCGATGAATTGTGCGCGTGGATCAGTCATGCCGTGCTCGTAGAAAACGGCTTCTGCGTAGCAGAACAAGGCTTCAATGTTGTCCGGCCAAAAGGGTATTAGTTGAAATGAAGGTGGAGTCATAGTCTTTAACTTAAGTTCTTTAGGTGTCTGTTTCGTCATGGTGAAATATCAAGTAGGAGAACGAACGAGGAAAAGAAATATACAAAAATACGAAAAAATTTACAATCTACAAAAATTAAAATAAAGCAATGATTTATGGAATTCCAAAAAGTAACAGACTCACAGAATGCAAGTTGGTATACCAGATCACGTTAGGCTCACCGATGAAGATGCCTTAGGTATTCGGAGTTTGACAACGCGTTAGCCAGTAACATCCTTTACTATGAATCGTAACCACCTAGTGAAATCAAAAGTCAGAAGTGAGGAGGTTCGAAGATATATTTGACACTATCAATATATCGAGAATTGACTGATCTAGGCTTGCTAACGATTACAGATTATGTTGAGCACTTGGGATCTGGTACGGATATATGACCGAGCGCCTTTAGCTAGGTGAGTCCATTAAAACTAATGTGGTCAGCATCCAATGTCAAAAACTTGCAGAGCTACTGATTTTGGGGATTTATTTACCGCTACAGTTTAACTAGAACCTCAATTATTTATTCATTTCAAATGCAGATATATTCGCTTCACACCAGGGCATAAGGAATTGTAGTACTTCAAGATGATAAATAAGGAAATTCAGATGATTGAATAGCTGTAATAATTCACGCACATTGTGTGAAAGCAAAACGAATCTGGCTCCCTTTGGTTTGCAATGACTTTTCTATCATAACTTCTATAAAGATTCACTCTATCTTCAGGACAGATATCAACAAAAACCAGACAGATTATTATTATCTTGATGATTATTCGGTACACCATGTTTTAGGCTTTGTTAATCATTCACTTGTAACCTTCAGATTTTTTATGTGTGGGCATGATGGTAAGTATACGTCTATCTACCTACTTGTACTTTATACACTGTTTGTATATGCTGGGTCAAGCTTGATTTTCTCTAATTACGTGTGTTGCCAATTCCAGCGTCTTATATATTCACTTATTTTCTTCCTGATATTCATATGCGTGTTTAAAATACGCTTGTCTGAAACAATTTTTATTTATGTTGTTATTGACAAGAGAAGTCGACAGAATATGTACTAATTAAATAAGAACTTTATTTCATTCATCTTCATCAATGAAGTCAACCTAGGAACTGCTTAATTTATTGATAAGTTGATGTTTATGAATCATGCAGCAGGAAATATTTTGTTCGATAGCATTCTAATCCCATGGTCTTTGAATCAAGAAACATGAACATTTATCTACGATATGTTTCTGTCAAAAGACATAAAGATTGTAATAATTTTGTTTGACAATCATCAGTTTTTAACTTTTAAGCTTGAAAAAACATAAGAAACAGATTTCTGAAGTATCCGTAATCTCTTACAGAATATATCAACAAGCTTAAACGATGTTTGAAAGATGTCAGTCAAATCCATATAGGGAGCCGAAACCTCCTTGATGAAGTACAATCTATTTTTTAGAAATTCCATGACAGTGTTCAGACAAATAAATCTCCGAAATAAACAGTTTTGCAAACATTCGATATCCATACTTCGCATGTTTGCTACAGTAGACATTACTAGCTAAACAGCTTATCGTACGTCACTTTTTCCCCTCTGTTTAGTCAGTTAAGAAGTCCCACATTCCTCTACTTCTACCTATGCTCAGATATACATTTTTCCAAATCGTCATCTCTTCCATCTATATATTTATTTGAAATAACCGTTATGGAATACTTGGAAACCAGTATTTTCCTATTCTGTCGTGTCGAGTGTATATTCAAGTGAACCACAAAAAGAAAATACAGAAAAGTCTATTGCTCATTATCACGTTTATTCCCTTAACCCAGGTATTAATATATAATACTGAAAGATAGCTCTTTAATCCTCCAGACTCTAATTCATATTTCCGGATGACTAACCTTCATATCGACTCTGTTTTCAGATGATAGCATACAGTGTTTGGAAGTATACACAATCTACTCTTGTGTTATTCCCCAAAAACATACACATTTTGACGATTTATCACAAAAGACCCTTTTTATCTTCACGTTTCAGTTTATATTTAAATGTTATAACATCATACACCATTATTGATCTCTCTAGACTTATCATGATTCTCTAGATATGACATAGTCGGACATTGTTTGTATCAGTACACTTTAATTTCAACTTCCATAAGACAAACAAAAGAGGTGAAAATAGTTAAAATTAACAATATATATCAACGCCAACGAAAGCAAATAAGAGGTAAATAATTAAGTTAAATATCTAGAGAGTTAATTATTCAAAAAGAAAGATAGAGCTTTATCAAATGACTAAATCAGGTTCTTAATCATATAAAACCAAAGTATACTAAACGAATATATCATATTCCTTTTGAAACATTCATAAACTTTAAATTCACTTAGTATGGTTTGTTTGAATCTTCCCATTGATGTTTAGGACTGCAACTGGTTAGTCTATAATTGGCATATGTGCATACTGTGCGTATTGCCTAGATATAGCCTAAATTCACAATCATTGTAAGCAAAGATGGATAATGGCTAGCAGTGGACGAAATGCACGTCCTAAATTCCACTGCTGGCCACTATCCATCTTTGCTTACGATTCATAAACTTTGTTAAGATTGAAACTGGTGGCAGAAAACATAAGCGATGATAAGTTTATTAATTGAAAAAGATTTTAACTTTGAATCGCTACCGATGTGTTAGGTCGGCTTACAATAAACTCTATCAGAGCCTCCAGAGAGGCTCATAAAGAGCCCAACCAATCAGCGATTAGTTAGAAGCTATGCTACTAAAATAATGAGGTCCTGAGTGGCTGTTAAACATATTGCTACTATGGAATCTCAAGGTCTTTTTAATTACTATAAAACCCCTGTTTTTTCTGTACATAAATGAACCTTGTAGTAAAGTGATTCTCTGATACTCGTGTCTTCTCTCTGGTCTTTCAAGTCGCTGAGTAGTGCTAGCCTGTGGTTATCCGAATAGTTAGGATCCGAATAAAGCATTCAACTTACGAGTCATAACACGAAGATTTGAGTAGCCTTATCGACAGCATATATCTATGTATTCCCTACCGATAAATCAAATAAATTGAAGAAAAATCAATCCATCATTGAATGTTTCAACACTTGAAAAATTTTATTTATTCAAATAAAATAAGGCATAAAAATAATCGTCCGCAAAATATAAATGAAAGAAGTGATTGGTCGTATACAAATAGATAATAAATTAAATCAAAATGATATTATTTTTCAGATATCATATTATTTCTATCAATATTGTTCTTAGCAGGTGATGAGCAGTGTATATGTGGCTCATTGCTTTCTGATTCTCGGTTTTCAGCACTATTTGAAAGAAAAAAAAGATGTAAAAATGGTAAAATGTAATTTTTTTAACTAAGATAATAGATAATTTAAAAACGCCGTATCGTTAAGATCAAGGATTGATTTAAGTTAGCTAGCCGTATAAAACTCTGGAAACACTGTACAGTCGTTTCGTCCTGTTGTGGGGCTCCTAAACAACAGTGACCATCCAAGATCGTGCCTCTAAGAGTTGAACTCAGGACCTACGGTTTCGAGGGAGAACATACAATATACTAGTAATTTTTATTTACCGTTTTAAAAAAGTACAAATCAAGAGTGGTGAGTATGCAGGCCTTGGTCACTGAACAGCCGTAATTTTGAAAAATATTTCATCTACCAGTTCGGAATATTTATGAATAATTCAAACTAACTTATATACCATAACATCTGTGATCTCTAGGTGGACTTAAATGACCTGTAAGTTGATACCAAACTAAATAGACTCTTTGAATATATAACACTGACTGTGATGTTACTGACAGAGTAGGTTTCAAAACCTGAAAAATTATGAACATAGAATCGTCATTTATCTTGGCCAAATTACATTTCAAGATGAGTGTTTCCAAGTGCTTCTCAATTAGCCGAAATTCAGATCACAACACATAAACGTAGATGTAGAGTCATTTTATGCATCGAACAGAAAAAAACAACTAATTTCTGGTTTTAACTCAACATTACATAATTGAACTTATTTCATTGGTAAAGTGATATTGTTAATTCGAATGATTAAGTAAGTAAATAATAATTTCATCTTACATATACATTCCATTCGTATTAACATTTGCATATATTTGGTGCTTAAATAAAAAAAATTTATCCACCCCTTTGATAGTCGTCAGGTAATATAATACTTCGGTATATCATACACAGCTAATAAAACGATACTATCTATAAATAAAATGAATAAGTCTTCTACTTCATTATCATTGTTTGATATATTACTTCATCTAACCAGCCACTTCAAGTCTTATACATTTGATCAGAAGAAGTTTTGTGGAGATTTTCAGTATTTTCATAGTTGAAAGCATGAGTCAATTGAAGCTAGACCACCATGAAAAACCTGGAAGCACTGGACGGCCGTTTCGTCCCGTTATGGAACTCTTCAGAAGTGCGCATCCACATTTGAATTAATTACTTATTAAAAACAAACGCTTCTCTCAATTTGATTTTAAATAAATTCGAATCAATTTAATTCAAAAGAAAAAAATTTTTTAAACATTAAACAAATAGTTTAAAGTTGTGCATACCTTTTAAGTAGTATAATATATTTAACTGTTCTAGTGATACATTTATGTAATTGATTTACAAGTTTATCTAAATCACCACGTACATTACTTGTTTGTCTTGTTGATGGTAAATCTTTATTGGAACAACGAACTTTATTACGTAATATAACTTCTCTATTTACAATATCTTGCATTTCTAATTTCAGTTGAAGAAGTATCTATAAGATTAAGATTAATAAATTAAATAGGAATTAATAAAAAAGTTGAACATTCATGAACACTGAATTGTCAAGGAGGAATATATCCAAAGGTTTGTGGTTTCTCGTTGCTAGTATACAAGACTACATATTTGATTCATCTACAATGGTGTACTGGATCCTATAAGGAGTATCACTATATTGTTTGTATTTACAAGTGGTTTACATTTTTGCATGGTGACTAACTGTGGAATCTTAGATGTATGTACTACCACCTGTGATGAATTCCGAATAGAGTAAATCACTAATCATAGATTTTTTCTTCTAGAAACCAACTAAAATTATAACCAAGTAAATAATGCATTCAGTATTGTTTGTTTGAATCTTCCCATTGATGTTTAGGACTGCAAATGGTCAGTCTCTAATTGGCATATATGCATACTGTGCGTATAGCCTAGATATAACCTTAATTCACAAGCATTGTTAGCAAAGATGGATAGTGGCTAGTAGTGGAATCCAAGATGCGCGTTTCGTCTTATTTGGGGCTCTTCAGCTGGATTCAAACAAACAATCCTAAGTGAATTTAAACTTCACCTCATTGCGCAAGCAAGTGGCTATCAGGACTCAGTAGCTGAGTGGATAATGCGATGGCGTTTGAAGCGAAAGGTACTGGGTTCGAGTCCCAAAGTGAACATCAACCCTGAGATGCAGGTACATCCAGCTCTGGGGTCTCAAATAGGACAAAACGCGCGTCCTGGATTCCACTGCTGCCACTATCCATCTTTGCTTACAAGTAACTAATTGTTACCACTTTTTGTATGAATTAAATCCAACCATAACTAGCCATAGGGAAAATTAATTTTTCCTTTTATATTAATTTGCAGTCATCAAACAGTTATTCAATAATACAGTGTGTAAAGCGGGCTCAGATTATATAGATGACAATGCTTCAGGACTGTGTGTATGGATTAGTGACGAGTACGAAGTGATAAGAAACATATGTCCAAATTTTTCTGTAGGTCGCCTTTAACCAAATAACAGGACTTATTCTGTATTTGATTATTAGCTTGATTTCAGCCATTAACAAAGTGGTGTTCATGAGAGTAGTAGCCATAGCAACAAAGAATTAGTGATAATGTCTACTTTTCCATTCAATATATTCGACACAAAAATATCACAGTCTACTACATTATGACTGCAGTGCGCATTGACCTTGTCAAGTGATTTCTATGCATATAGAGTAAAAGTTTTAATCACTTACATTACAGCGGTAATCTATGGATTCTTAGTCAGTAGTTAAAGGATGTCTTGTCACCATAAGATCAGAAGTACTTTCGATTAGACCCCTCTTGGAGAGAGTTTATAATAAGACAAAACAGTTGTTCAGTATATCATAACCTTTAATGGTTCATAAATTGATTTCAGTTTACAAGGAAAATGAACTCCAAACATTCATGCTGCATTCATAACTTACTTGGATTAATGTCTCATTTGAATAATCTGCTTCATTTGCTTCAAATATACACTCATCATCTGAGCTAAAAATTATTATTTAAAAAATATTAAGAAAGTATTGGGCATGAGATTCGTTTACTGGTGTTAATTCAAAAATTGGTTATGATTCATGATTGTTTAGTGGGTAATATGAAATCGAACTATTCAAACTACTAATATTCTACATCAGTATAAAATACAAACCAACCGTAGGGAATTCTCATTTACAAATGAAATTAATGACTAATTAATCAATGGGAGAGAGATACGAAAGTCATTATTTAATCAGACTTGAACAATTGAAGGAGCAATCGTGATCTGAAAATTAGGGTGTGTGAACGTGTACCAAAATGGTTGCAGAAACAAATAGAATCAAACGACCCGATAAAAGTAGAGGATAAATATCCATCATCCTCTATTGCCAAACATATGATCGAAACAGGCCATAAGATTGATCTAAACTTGGCTTTTGTGGTGTTGTATAAAAGTGTAAAAGGGCGTATACAAAGGTTTATTGAAGCATTAGCCATACGAATATTCAAAACCCCCTTTGTGTACTCAAAAATGGACTATATTCAAAAATAGTTTGTTATCTCCTTAAACCTACCCTGGTAACATTAGCTTATTATCTAGAGTGATTAGGTTTCAAATTGTTTTCATATTATTTTTATTATTATTATCCTTGTCTATCCTTACCCCCCCCCCATATCCAGTTTAGTTGACCTTTTATTTTTATACATAAATGTTCCTAACAAGTATATTACTTGTGATCAGATTGTTCGAAATGTATTGCGCTAATATATCAGATAGTTCTGATAATCTTCGTCTTCTTATTACACTATCGAAATTAAAAGATCACTAACAGCCTGTTAGTTTATACCAAAATATATTCATATCTGACAGTAAATTTCAGCGAACTATAATTTTATTAGTGAAATCGTTCCTACTTCCAATGTGAAGTCCAAAGATCAACCAGCCAAATTGAAGAAACTGACAGGAGTAAAAATAAAGTAAGACAGATGGAGGTATATCCACTGGAAACCCTGAATCTAGATTTCATGCTTATCGAAACTCGTCAGATGAGTGCTTAACCTTAAGGACTAATGAGTTATCATCGAATGATTTATAATTTTAGCTTGAATCAATTCAAGATATTGAATGACCATCACACGGTGACAATGGTAATATTTTGTCCCACCCCTAAATCGATAGAACTTTATTAGTTAAAGCTTATGACTAGAATTTGTGGTGTGTTATAGAAATCATTGAATCTGAAAGTTCCTATCACAAACTGAGTTGAATTAGGTAACTAATTGTAAATGATAATAGCCGAGCAATACTACATACTATCATCAATATGAGAATTTTCCTACTATTTATTCTTTCAAACTACTAACAGATTGAATCAATTACAAATCGAGAAATTGAATCTGGAAAGAATTTAACAATTAGAAAATTATATAGTTGAGATCACGAGTCATTTGAAGCTAAACCACCATGGAAAACCTGGAAGCACTGGACGGTTTTCCATGGTGATCTAGCTTCAATTGACTCATGATCTCAACTATATAAAATTACTAAAAATCTTCACCAAACCCCCTTCTGATAATTAGAAACTTACTTTGACAATTTGTAATCACTTATGGATTTTTTCGATATTTCTTCCTTTAACATTTTCCAAGTAACCTAAATAATAAAATGTTATTAGAAACACAATAGAGATGTTTAGTTTTTTTCAAAAGAATTACAAAATAAACAGACCACAACTACCTCAGACCACTTAACAGTAAAACATAGTGCATTAGTTAACTTAATGGTACCAGTACTAACTGCTCGACAGAAATCGATTAGCTCTAAATACTAGACAAGCGTGACATTGATTACTAATAATGACCCATCATTGTAAAATATGTAAGTGTTGCAAGAAATCAGTCGTTCTTATGGTTCCTATGTTATCATCCCTCTAACCACTATAGTGGATAGTTATACTTGAGTTATCATCTATCTCAGAACTGTAAATAGTTAATCCAATATAGTGCATGTGAGAATGAAAACTAAGTCCTAAGCTTTTTGTTAATTGCTTTCAATCATCTAACAATGGTGTATCACCTTTTATTTAGTAATCTACTTACTCTGCGAATGTACATCATCTACATACATTCCATATAAGAATGAATGTCAGCGAATTGGCAAGTAACAATACTATGACTTATGACTGTTTATAGAATAGTTTATCAGAATGGAAAGAAGTTCACATTGAGTCTGGATCTGAATAATGATCTCTAAGTTAGAAACTTAAAAATCTATCCACCAAGTCATAAGATCAAGCTCCTTATCATGCCTTATTTTCAATTTGATCGTTTAATATTGTACATGATTATTCTTAGAATGAGAAAAAGGCAATTTTCCTGACAGCCAACCTTCGATATTCATGTCCCTATCTGTAATTCAATGAATTAAAATTGGGTAGGCTTAGTTATAGATATAAAGACAACGAATAAAATAGAAAGATATCTTCATAGTTGAAAGCGTGAGTCAATTGAAGCTAGACCACCATGGAAAACCCGGAAGTACTGGATGGTCGTTTCGTCCTATTATGGGACTCATCAGCAGTGCGCATCCACGATCCGCCACTAGCGAGATTCGAACCCAGAACCTACCAGTTTCGAGACAGATCCCTTAACCGATAGACCACTGAGCCGGCATCCAACGGTGTCAATGTCTAACTTCAACTGATCCACGAAGTTGAACGGTGAATGGTTGCTCAACTTCATTAAAATTAACGTTAACTGAAATCCATTTTCAATCTCAACACCTTCATTAAGTAATAATTGATTTCTAAAACGATGAAGGTATTTAAGTACTCCTTAAACTATCTATTAAACTTATCAAATGGAAATAATTATTTAACATTAAACATCAAACCAACCGCTAAATTCAAATTCAACACAACATACCTGACCAGTTTGATTTACACTTAAACCATAATTCATAGTATTAACTATTTGACGTGCAATATGAAATAAATGTTCTCGTTGTGTAATCAATTCAGGAATTTGTTGTACCAAACGAAATGTTATTTCATTAATTGTTATTTCAAAATGTCTTAATGGTCTAGTTAAACGTTTAACTGAATCTGTTCGTCCAAATATTAATGAATGTTTTCTTAATCCATTTAGACGATTTTTATCGTTTTCTGGTAGTTTTAAAATCTCCTATAATATATGGATGTAAATAAACAGTAACTAATTAGTTAGCCATTTTAAATTGTTCAATATTAGAATATGTTAATGACATCCAGATTTTAAATAACGTATATCTGATATCATTGTTAAGGTAAATTAATATTATAATTTTATATATAGTTGAATTCATGAGTCAATTGAAGCTAGACCACCATGGAAAACCTGGAAGTACTGGACGGTCGTTTCGTCTAATTGTGTGACTCCTCAGCAGTACGCATTCACGATCCCGCACTCGCGAGATTCGAACCCAAAACCTACCAGTCTTGCGCGAAAGCAATTAACCAATAGACCACTGAGCCGGCATCCAACGGTGTTAATGTCTAACTTCAACCAATCCACTGCTGAGGAGCCCCACATTAGGTCTAGTGCTTCCAGGTTTTTCATGGTGGTCTAGCTTCAATTGACTAATGATTTAAACTGTATATAAAAATACTAAAAATCTTCACAAAAATCCCCCTAATATTATATTTGTTTACTAAACAATAATGAATACTACGCTGTTTAGTTCTCACTAATGAATGAATCCTACAGATCGAATATGAAACTTGACTACAGAATAACTAAAGTGATGAACAATTTTTACTGATATCATTTTAGATAACATTAATTTTATTAGTATTCCTAATAAAAACAGCGGATTGGTATTGAAATACATTTTCAGGTCTGTACAGATTTTATAAAGAATTTCGGTGTGCGGTCTATGCTCTATCATGAGGGGTAACAGGTGTAAGTAAGTAACTTCAATTGTTACTGAGAATATTTGTTTGTTTGTTTTTTCAAATAAAATCTATTTTCTTCCATAACTAATAAACATGACTTTCATTAAACATTAATATTTGTTTGACCCTATCAAGAGATTGAAATGCACCAATCAATTATTTTGCTTTAGTTTTACTGTTTATTCGAATAGGTTACTTCACTCGAAATTCAACTCTCAATAGTTTTACGCTTCAAATCAATTGTGTGAATAATATACTATTAGGACAAATTGTTAAAATGTTTAATTCTGTGTAACACTTAATGATGATTATCTAGAAGGTCTAATCTGAAATAATTAAGCAATAAACTATGCTTATTAGTCAGTTACGTCACTAGCTGGTTCATTCTATAGGTTATTGAATTTAAGAAATCATCTCGAATGTTCAGAATAATTATATGACAGTTTTCCTTGTAATTTTGTTCATGGTTTCTAATGTCTTGGAATTATTTCAGATATATCGCTCCATAACGACCGAAACCGCTGTTTTACTGATACCATGGGTATCTTTATGTCATGCATATTATATTATATTATGTATATATATATATATATATATATATATATATATATAGAGAGAGAGAGAGAGAGAGAGAAGGGGAGGGAGGGAGGGAGGGAGAGCGAGACCGTAATAAAACCAACATTACGTACTTGTATTTCTTGTTCATTTGTATTTCGTGAATTGTTCGATTTTCTAATTTGAAATTTTGGTAAATATGGTAATAATGCAGTGATAGCAATTTCCAATTTTAAATAATCTGATTTCATTAAAGTTGCACTTGGACGTACTTTCAATGGATCTTCAGTGAAATTTTCGTTTATAATAAGTTTTGGTCTATGAATTTGTGAATTTGTTATTGTTTCTGTTAAATTGATTTCCTCATTACTTGATATCAAAGGTGATGGATGTAAAATTGGAGGTTGTGATAATTGTAATGAATATGGTGAATTATTTCTTGATAAAGTAGGACTATTCAATAAATTATTTTGTGTTTTTGATTGACTTGTCTCATTAATATCTTGAATGTTTTCTTCTTGTTGTTGAGAGTTCTTTGATGTAATCGATTGTTCCAGTGAATGAGTATAATTAGATAATTCTGAAATTGTTAAGTTAAATAATTCATCTTGATGTGACAGATGTACTTTCAATTAATATTGAAAAAATTTGGTATAAGTTGAGAATATCTTAAGAAGTAAAAGCTTTTAAAATAAACAAATTTGAAGGTAACTAATATCACACATTAATTGTAACTAGACAAAACTTACAAACTATGATGAACTGGAAAACTGTTTCATCCTATTATACAATTATTAAATAGTCTCCATCTACAACACTATCTTGAGTATGATCTCATGAAACTTTTCAGATATCTTAGATTGGGTTGGATATAATGTTTTATTTAAATATAATATAATAGAGTATAAATTACATTGACTGATCACTGAGTGGTGACAAATGTCATGTTTGTTTAGTTATTAGGGATACTCAAGTCCCATCAATCAAGTTACATTATTGCTACTAGCCTAAATCACTCGACATCGTGTTTACAATGTTATGATACTATGTGGTTCGAGGTAGGATGCAGGAAAGCTTGGACCTTAGAATAGTGATCGAATCGCAACTTGATCGAAAAAAATTCGACCACCATTAGAAAACGAAACAAATATGACGTTGGTCATTAACTAATAAGTAATCACCGCAAGTATCTCAGTTATGGAAGAGGAGGGTCGCTGGCCAAATAGTGATAGCTAGTGGTAGTCTCCCGAACTATGAAAATGGGGGGTTAGTGTTTAAACACTATTGATTATAAAGACGCTTCACCAATGAGTCTCAGCTAGCACGAAACCTAGCCCTATTTTCTTCTGTTAACTACTACATTTAAAGAGTAGATTGATGAGCTAACAAAAAATAAAAATACTGTTATCTATTTCCCCATGGTTACTGATTCGAGTTGAAAAAAATCCTGTATTTTAGCGTAATCTAACAAAATGTAACTCAACAACAGATGAATATTTTTATCTACAAGACTTCATTTTTGAAAGACTGTTTTTATAAAGTAACTATGACACAAGTGTCTTGTATCTTCTGGACTTTAGCTCTTTTCCGTGACCCTAGATCAGGTGAAAGGTGTGGTTACTAGAAAAATTTAATTTCTTATTAAAATACGAAGGTAAAAGTTTGACAAAAAGGAAGTGAATTAATTCTATGTAAAGATGAGTTACGTAATCGATTACATCATCAAACATTCTTCCCCCCTACTGCGAGATGGAAATGTCTGTTTCTTATCAGTATAATGTTACGAATATTGATTATGCAATTGTCACAACTTTCAAAAGTGTCATTAGAACACTCAATCGATCAGTTTTAGTTTTCCCATAAAGCCATTCCCACAGGCTGATTATCTCAGCTAAAGGAAAATTTAACAGTAAACCATTAAATGACTTGTACATGCAAGTTTTTATTTTCTGCTCACTTTATAAAGTAGGTCTCTGACGCAAAAGATTAGTTAATCGATTACTTAGTTTGATGAATTATGAAAACATTAGATGAATAACTGTTGCAAACCACTGAAATAAATATATAGTTAATTGACTGAAGTTTGAAACGTTATTGCAGTCACTACAAGCAATCCTTATGCTTCTAGATTCGAACTCATCTTAGGTTGTGAGTATTCACTACCGAAGAGTGCTAAAGGAGGATGCAATAGTTACTTAACATTCGTTACTTTTTAGTGGTTCATCATTTACTATTAATTAATATGACAATTATTCTCAGAGTAGGGGATTGTTTTATCACAGTCAAGGTTTCTCAAAAATCTAGATGCGCACTGTTAAGGAGTCCCACAATAGGACGAAACGGCCGTCCAGTGCTCCCAGGTTTTCCATGGTGGTCTAGCTTCAAGTGACTTATGATTTAAACTATATAAAATTACTAAAATCTCCACAAAACCCCCTTCTGATAAAAAATAATTTGTTGCAGTTAATTTACGGATTTGTATTTAATAAGGTAAATCAGAATTTGTAATTCCTATTCGATTCACAATTTATAAAACTTTTAAGGTTCTACGAAGTTCCTTACGGATCATATTGATTGTGATTAGAAATCTTAGCTACTCAGATAATATTCTCGAAGTTACACAAAATGTACACGGTCAGAGACTGAGAGCTTTGAATCAAACTGATCATAGTAAAATGTATGCCTTCATTCCTAAGTGGGAAACACATTCGTGTGTACTTTACAACAATTGAACAGATTAATTAGCTGTTAGCTTAATTGAATGACAATTCAACTTTCTGACACTTTTACAGTTATATTACTCTTTATCAATAAAGGGTTGTGGAAATTGTTGAGTTTAGATGATGTAATGAATGGATTAATGTTAAACCACCATTGAAAAACTGGAAGCACTGGATGGCCGTTCCATGCTGGTATGGGACTCCTCATCAGTGCACATCCACAATTCACGAAGTTAAGCATTCGCGCAAGAGACCGAAGGTCTTGGGTTCGAGCCCCACATGCGGGATCGTGGATGAGCACTATTGAGGAGTTTCATAGAGAAATGGCCACAGCTACCATTGGAACATCATTTTAACAGCAAGTTTAGAAAATATTAAATAAATTCCCGATTGATCCCCATACAACAATAAAATTATTTCAAAAAATATTCAAGAAAGTTATTTGCTAAAACTATAACTCACCAAAACTATTCTCACTTCTATTCATACATTTTGCTGGTGTCATTAAATGTTGCTGATCAGAAATACCCATAGCTAATGATTGCAACATTGAATAATTTTGTGGATTATTCAATATTGCCCATTGATTAAATAAAGGATTTAGCTGTTGTGAATAATTTGATAGAATACATTGTGTTGAAGGCAATGAATTCATTAATGATGATTGATTTGGAATTAGATTTAATCCGGAATAAATGGAAGGTAGAAATGAACACCAATTAGAGTTTGTAAACATACTACTACTATTATTATTATCAGTAATATTCAAACTTGATCCTTCTTGTGTAGTATATATATTATTATTATTATTATTATTATTATTATTATTATTACTGTTTGATTGAAATTCTTTAGTTATATATTGATGATTCAATGGTGTATTATTTTGTAGAGAATATTGAATAAGTGCTTTTTTTAATCTTTGAACATGTAATGGTTTATTATCCATTCCAACAATTTTAATAAGTTGATCAAATTCATTAGAATCTTTTAATGAATCAATTAATTGTTGTATATCATCACCACCTTGAAGTAAAATTATAAATAAAATATATGTATAGAATTATATTTAATATCAGGAGGGGTTTTTGTGGATATTATAGTAATTTCAATGGTTCAGATCATGAGTCAATTGAAGTTAGATAAGCATGGAAAACGTGGAAGCACTGAGCTACCGTTTCGTCCTATTGTGGGACTCCTTAGCAGTGCGCATCCACGATCCCACCTCGCGAGATTAGAACCTAGGACCTATCAGTGAATGCGCACTGCTGAGTAGTCCCACAATAGGTAGAAACGGCCGTCCAGTGATTGATTGATTGTTGTCTATTGCTTTCGTTATTCAATACAAGTGCATTTTGTGTTGATTCACTTTTTCTTTTGTTCTCTTTTCTAACTTTTCTCACTCATGGTACTCTGTATACTCGTCTAGATGTGAACCGTTACAGTTTTATTAAGAGAATTGCACAGCTATGATGACCGTATATATTTCAAACTTGAATCGTTATAAAACAATACATTAATAAGTTCATATTCATATATTCAAAGAAATATATAGGGCTTATTACATTATCAGTATGAGGTCATGGATATTGTCTAGTTTCAGTTGAGATCGTAAATAAATCAATGTTAGACCAACATTTGAAAATGCGGATGCACTGAACGGCCGTTTCGCCTTAGTATGGGACCCCTCGGAAGTGCGCATCCACGATTCAGCACATGGTATTCGAAACCAGGATCTTTGTTCTCGTGAGCAAACGCCAAATCTCTGGACAACTGAGACAGTATCCTACAATGTTAATGTTTGACTTCAACCACTCCACGATATTATGCGATCATCTTCCATTGTTTTAGGAGGGTAACTGCCTCACACCCGACACGGATTAACTCCAGTGGTCACGAATTCTCACTAGAACCCCGAGAATAACCTCTCATAGCTAGTCACTTATTACATTACTCTAATATTGATATATTCATGCCAGTATTTTAACATTCTATTTTGGTGTCATAAAATTATATTGTATTTACTTATGACATCATGGTTTTTTGATGAGTGTACAATCAATATAGTTGTCGTGTATCATGATTTCCTTTATATTTATTTTTTCTAAACAGGTTTCAAATATTAGGTTAATGAGAACTTTGTTCAAAATCCTCAGTAATCAAGAAATCTCGTGTGTTTTCTTTTCAGAAACCGTACACTTTTCTTCTGCTACTATTTCTCATTAATCTGTACCAACTTGATAATACCGTAAACTAGTGTACATCCTGTACTGATCTCTTGAATATATCACTAAAATTCTCATCAAGAAAAACAAGATAACTATTTTATGTTGGTGTGTAATTGCTCATCATACATACGAAAATCCACTTTAGATCGAATTTAGGATCTTCAGATATCTAGACACTCATTAAACTATGAGCGAGGCAGTAAGCTATCGACGAAACCGGTTGTAAACTATAAATTGACTTATTTCAGTAATATTAATTAATTTATTGTGGTGTTTGTATGAACTAATGATTCCTTTATACTTGATGACTGCCTGGTTTCGGATTACAAATACAATATTTTCGTTTGTGCTCACTTTGTTCTATTTGGCTTTAATTGAGCTATTTCGGGGATTTCTAGATAATACAATAAATCAAATACTTCTATTATACTGATTAAATGGTGTGAAAGTATTATTAGAATATTATAATCATTAATTCTATCGTGTATAGAATCAAATGACCTAATTGTTGAAGAACCTCAGTAAGACAAGATAATCCTACAATATTTCTAGTTTTCAATAATTTCCATTTAACTTCAATTTATGGGGAAATTGATATCAATGATAAAGTTGAAAATATACCTCCCTAATATGTTAATCAATATGAAACCTGGATCAGAGACACATTGTAGATCATCTACAACTAACTTACATCAAAGTGTTAGATGATATTAGATCGTTGAATCAGGTGGCTGTATTATAATTTGCTTGATATAATTTAGATAGCATTAATGATTGGACAGCAAGATATTAGTTGATAATCAGTAATCGATCAGTGTTAACCACATCCAAATGTTGTTGTAAACATTCAGTAAACAATTATAAGGAATTTATACGAGTATTTCTTCTCAGTATTTGAACGAATAGCTTGACAAAATTTGGGCACAGAGTATAAAGACGTCATTACATGTGAAAATTATATTTCAATTAATCTCAACTATTGAAATTGAAATAATTCCAACGTTTCATCCAGCAAACTTATCTGGACTTCTTCAGGATAATATTAAAATTAAAATCATTGAAGAAATATATAGTGTTTAACCATCAAATCAAACTTTTACTGTGCTTGATTTAATTTTTAAATTGATGATTTTAATCATTATCCTGAAGAAGTCCAGACAAGTTTGTTGGACGAAACGCCAGAATCTCTTGGATTTCAATCGCTGATATTATTTCAAATATAATTTTTACACATAAGGAATATTAATATACAAGATATTTGACAAAGTAAATACAAGTTATAATATTTACACTTACCATGATTTATGAATGCATCAAAATATTGTAACAATTTAGCATTTTGTAGTAATAAATAAACTTCTAATTCCCCAAGATTTTGAAGTAAACTCCGTTTATTGTCCATGTTCTTTTTTTCCCCAGTTCACCTCTGTTACCTTCCTTTTTATCTGATAATTTTTATATTGCCAAAAAAAATTAAACCGTAGATGACCTATTTACCTATCCAACGATAGTTCTTGTTATCAGTTTTTTTAATCTCCCCCCCTACTTACATACAGTTCTTCTCTATTCATCCCATGAATAAATCAAGATATTTTTTTATTGAATCTAACCTATTTATTTCTCTCTTGAAATGGGATTTTCAAGTGGATACATTTATTTCCTGTCTTCTTACCTCATTATCTACTTATCTATCTGATATGTATTGATGATGTAATCATTTAATGTGTTAAAAGTGATTGTCAATATTATATTTCTCATATTACATTCATTTTATGTATTGAAGATAAGAAGGAGGGCGTTACACAACTGCTGAAAATAGAATACATGTCACAATTATCAACACTTAGGAATTAAATAAAATGCAGTTAGAGATGAGAACCGAATTTTAATAAGTCGTTCCTCAAGTGGTATGAAATTATATAATGTTGACTCTTTTTATCTTTCTCTCAATCTCCCCCTATCTGTCAGTTGGTTAGACGACATAATAAGTAAGAGTTCAATTTGATCAAATGAGAATATTTTCTAAAAAATCTTTTAAAAAACTCTACCTTCTCCCCCCCCCCGCACCGAATAGTCTATTATATAGTATAAAAGCCTATTTTTATAGTATTAAAGTTTTTTTCGAAAATTAAATGACATTCAATTTGAACGTTAGAATCTAAAATATTTAATGATGATCAATTTACAGTTTCTTTTTTTTTGAGACTAGAAGTTCCTGGGTTTGATTTCTATTAGGGTCGTGGATATGTATTAGAGAGGAATCCCATACTAGGATGAAATAGCTATCCAGTAATTCCTGATTTTCAGTAGTAGCTCAAATGAGACGAATAGAAACTACCAATTAATAGATTTCATTAACTCGAAATTAGCTTGTATCACAGACAGATATCAAATGAAGAAAAAACAATGCAGTGTAAAATGGTTGTTTCATTTCAATTTCAGAAGGGGTTTTGTGGAGAATTCAGTATTCTCATAGTTGAGCTCAATTGAAGCTAGACCACCACAGAAAACCTGGAAGAAACTGGACGGCCGTTTCGTCCTATTATGGGACTCCTCAGCAGTGCGTACCCACGATCCCGTACTCACGAGATTCGAACCCAGGACCTACCAGTCTCGCGATAGAGCACTTAACCGATTTGTAAGTTCTTACAAATACTCATCAAGAAATGCAAGACATGGAAACGATGAATAAAACACTATGCGTGAACCAGTAAGTTGAAAGAAAGTATTTTATATACCCAGGTTACTTAATTCATAATCAAGCGCGACTATAACGATTTCTTATCGTTATTATGTCTTATTTCCGATATGGAATGTCCTTTAATTGTAATAAGATTGCTTACAAGTTATTACATCAATTCATAAATATCTATATCATACCAGTAGAAAAATCAAGCTTTCCATGATTAAACTATGTCAGATCAATATCATAGATTATGAGATAGCTATCAAAAGGATCTCCAATAAATAAACTTGCTACTGAATGATCTAGAAACTACTCACTTATGGACATTCTTTTTCTATTAATCTTACAATTTATAATCAGTTTAAATGGTTGTTAGCGAGAAACATTGAAAAGAAATCATTCAACTCAGGACACACTTTCTATATGTATATTGATCCAACAATTGATTCATGATATTTCTGTAGTGTTTTACCTGTAAGTTTTTTTATTTAATTTCTCATTAGCTGCTACTATTTCTTTTACTATAAGTAAATTACAATAGATTAAACATAAATCTGCCATTTAGGTTTGACGATAACTAAACTGAGCTATATTGGTTGGAATAAGGGTTTCAGTCGGTCCTACCATGTCAGATAGCAACTTAAGATCCAAGAGACATGTCATACTGCTAACTTTAGATGGGATGTGATAACAGTAAGAATAGACGATATTCGTACGTTAGTGATATTCGATCACAGATGTTTACGAAGTATTGTGCGAGTATTTCGCGACCACGAAGTAAGTAATACTTAGGTTAGGAGTAGAGTACTAAATAAAGATGACAAGTTGATTCGTGTGGTAATAAATCTTCACTAACTGAGGTTATTGGAACATGTGCTATGTAACCCTAACTACCACCTACCTCGAAAAGCGTTATTTGTTGCAAGAGTAGGTTGGGAAAAAGTTAGGTCAACCAAATTAAAATGCTACACCAATTTACTAAGTCACTAAAAATGGAGGTAAGTCATGTTAAAAGGCATAGGCCATCTGGTTGGGATCCACATGATTATAGTAACCGAGACCCTAAATCATACGGCTCGAAATCGTTTTCAATGGTGCCGGTACACTAACTCTTTACCTTTATACACTAGTTTTCTAAATTCCATATAACTTTATATACTTAACTAGTTTATATTTTCTCAAATTGTATCTGCGATGCCTAATCTTTTCTATCAACATGAGTATTTTTACCACCTTTACTCCTCTAGGATTTGCCCTAGAAATCTGACCTCAGTGTGCTTATCGAGTAAAACAACTAGCTTAGCTAGTTTAGCTAGCTTTTTAGCTAGATTAGCTAGAGGTTACATCGAAACTTAATCAAGAGGATTCGGTTGATGCTACAGGACTAGACAAATGTAAAATAGGCTACTAGTCGATGATCAATCAAATGTAAATATCTCACTCTTATAATAGGTCAGTCGGGGTCCAAAGAGTCCATTGGTAAAGTCTCGGACAATAAAAGTAGTTAATGAGTATTCGAAGTTCATAGGGAGTATCAACTTATTAGTCCCAGCTGACACGAAACCTATATCCAGGGCTTTTATTCTAATGTCTGAAAAGATCTAAAGGATTTGACTTACATTTGCTTGATGTTTAGTATTAGCCTGTATTGAAAATAAACTTCAAATTGGATGATTCTTCACAAACCCCACAGCTAAGTTAATTCCATATAATTTGGTTCCCTTTTATGAATTTAAATTAGGTGAGAATAAGAATGGAAGCAGAACAAAATATATTTATCATGTAACTTCTGCTTGTTCGAATTGAGAGATAACATCATATTATGTGGTCACAGATTGTGACTGTAGATAGTTTTCATGATCGAAATTAATTTTATAATCCTGTGTCAACACACATTTGTATGATTAAGGTCTTTTGAAAATTAATTTTAAAAGAATGAAAAGATAAAAACTATCTGAAATTAGACAATTGGTAAAATGGATTGCGTAATCACTGTAAGAATTTATAAAGATTTTTACAAGTTTTATTAATTGGATGAGTAGCGATTATGTAATGGACGTATAAGCATTTGCTAAGTGGTTGATATAACACTTAGTTAATCAAAGGTATAATAATACATCGAAAAAAGTGACTGAAAAACTTGATTTTTCAAGGCTGTTACTAAACTGTTTTCACCTGGAGGCTGACCTAACTATATGTAATGGTAACCACTTTGGAAAAACACAGTAGAATAGCATTCTTCTGCTAATTAACTATTTCATACGACTTGGAAACATCAAAGACATACCGTCTATGAAATTAAATGTCGGGTAACAGCAATGTTAAGAACTGCTGTGTCTTTTGTCTTGTGATTGAGCGATCGGTCGATTTCATCAACACAAACAAACTTTACCAAAACTTGTAACGAAATATAAATGTCGAGGCAATCCAACCAAGATGCCCATATATCAAAAGAGACTTACCAATTCTTGTCACTAACATCAACAATGTAAAAATATGAGCCTTTGCCAATAGACACGAAAAATATCAAACAAGTTACTGGATAACTGGACTCAGTTACTTACTTACTTACGCCTGTTACTCCCAATGGAGCATAGGCCGCCGACCAGCATTCTCCAACCCACTCTGTCCTGGGCCTTCTTTTCTAGCTCTATCCAGTTCTTGTTCATTCTTCTCATGTCTGTCTCTACTTCTCGGCGTAATGTGTTCTTTGGTCTTCCTCTTCTCCGTTGACCTTCAGTCTTCCATGTAAGGGCTTGTCTTGTGACGCAATTGGGTGATTTCCTCAAAGTGTGCCCAATCCACTTCCAGCGCTTCTACCTGATTTCTTCCTCCGCTAAAATCTGGTTTGTTGTCTCCCACAGTAACTTGTTACTGATATGTCTGGCCATCGGATCCGAAGTATCTTGCGTATACAGCTGTTAATAAACACTTGTATCTTTTGGATAATGGCTTTCGCAGTTCTCCACGTCTCCGCCCCATGCATTAGAACTGTCTTCACGTTTGTATTGAAAATTCTAGCCTTGATATTGGTTGACAATTGTTTTGAGCTCCAGATGTTTTTCAGCTGTATGTATGCTGCTCTTGCTTTGCCGATCCTCGCCCTCACATCTGCATCTGATCCACCGTGTTCATCAATGATGCTGCCCAGATATGTAAAGGTTTCCACATCCTCCAAAGCTTCTCCGTCAAGTGTAGTTTGATTGGTGCATATTGTATTGTATCGGAGAGTCTTGCTTTTCTCTTTGTTTATATTGAGACCTACTGCTGCTGAGGCTGCTGCTACACTGGTCGTTTTCTCCTGCATTTGTTGTTGCGTTTGTGATAGAAGAGCCAGATCATCCGCGAAGTCTAAATCGTCAAGTTGCATCCTGCCTGTCCACTGTATCCCGTGATTTCCTCCAGATGTTGACGTCTTCATGATCCAGTCGATGACCAGGAGAAAGAGAAAGGGTGAGAGTAGGCAACCTTGCCTAACACCGGTCTTTACCTCGAACGAGTCGGTGAGTTGTCCTCCGTGGACGATTTGGCAGTTTAGTCCATCATAGGAGTTCCGTATGATATTTACTATCTTCTCAGACAAGCCATAGAGTCGAAGAAGCCTCCATTGTGTCGTCCTGTCCACGCTATCAAATGCCTTCTCGTAGTCAATGAAGTTGATATTAGAGTGATGAATTCCATTCGATTGATTGTTCCACAGTGATACGTGGAGTTGC